GATGGTGTAGTACGGCGTCCAGCAGATGATGAACACAATCACAATCGAGATGGTCATCTTGAGAGTGCGCTTCTTGGCCCGACTTAAGACATCATCGTTGGAGCGACGGAATCTCTCGGCAATCACATCCTTGAGGACGCGCTGGCTCTTGCGGTAGATCTCCAGATAGATGGCCCCATAGCAGTAGATGAATACGATCAAAGGAAAGGCATACATGGCGCACATTGTGGCGATCTGATACAGCCAGTTGTCAAAGTCGCTCACAAACGAGTGGAACGTGACGCACTGAAAGTAGCCCCGGACCACGGGATGCTCCTCCAGATGGAAGAGAAAGGCCTGTCAATGAAACCAAACAGAGATGTTAATAATTATATTGGCTACTGGGGGAGGGGGTACTAGCGGCTGGACACTCACCTGCGGAATGCTGCATATGACAGAGCCCATCCAGGCGCAGGCCAGCATGATGCGTCCCCGGTTGTAGGATCGTTGCAACGGCTTCAGTATAGCATAGTATCTAAAAAGCGAGAGAGGAATGGTGAGAGCGTTGAGAAAACTTCGATTGACACTTGGAGCCGCCTTATCTGGCTATCAATTTGGTCCATTAGCGACAGTCAACGGAGCAGACTCGGTAACAGACAGGGGGATAGGACTCACCTGTCTAGCGATATGCAGACCATCACAAAGCTGGACAAGTACAGTCCGAACACGCGAAAGAAGCTCATGAGACGGCACATCAGATCGGTGGAGCGCCATTGGACTGTCCAGGCCCACGCAATCTCCAGCGGCATCAGCAGCAACGTCACCATTAGATCGGCAATGGCCAAATGCATTAGCATGATATCAATCCGCAAGGGACCACGCAGTCGCCGCTTCGTCAGCAGATACAGCACTGTGCTGTTGCCAATTGTTGAGATCACAAAGAGTATGCTGGAATCGAAAGGAAATCCCATATAAAGAGAGGATGAACATATCAAGCTCCATGGGAGGAGGAGCCAGGGCAAAAGGTTCGGGCAACGGATCAATTGGTGAGTGGAAAATTAAAAAAGTTTTCCCGAATGGTAAAGTGGGTGTCTCTGCGAGTATGGAATGTGTGGGATAAGTAGGTCAGATGGAAGTCTAGCCACGGAAAGGTAAATTGAATGAGGAAAACGAATTGTCTGCCATAAAGTTCTCGAAGATCAGTTGTAGACAATCAGAGCTTGGCTCTGTTTCAATTAATTTCCTGTTAATGCGATCAGCGAATGAGTATCGAAATTGTGTACACTAGATCACGTACCCAGGGAGGAGGAGTTTTTCGTACATCCACTAATTTATGCAATTAATCAGTGGATGATCTCTAGATTTTGTGCAGACACTCTGGAGATTGATCCCCACCTAAATTGTCTCCTTAAGGTCAGTGATTGCTGCTTGATTTCTCTTTTAAGAGGAGAAAATCTTCTTTAGTTAAAATATAGGGAAAATTTAAATTATTGCACTAAAATATTCCTATATAAATTATAGTTCCCAGTATTATAACACAATAAATATATGTATCCGACTTTAAACACAATTATAAAATATTTCACTTTGTGAAACACTTTCTACGTCTTGAATTGAAGAGCAGCTCTTAATCAATTTTGTAAATCTTTTGCAATTTGAAAAACGTGAACCCTAGGCTTGAACTACAGCGTTCAAATTCCAAGTGAAAATTATTAAATCAGACAGACAGACAGCCAGAAGGGACAGTCAGTGATGATGAGCAAAGGCATGATTTATAAATATTTGTAACGAAAATTTCAATCTAAGCCGGAGACAGAGACAGCATCGACACCTACATCTACACAGCGATTGATAGATACGTTTAGAAAGCAGCGACAAAAGAAGGCTAGAGATAGTGTGTGCCAAAGCTTATCAAAGTGACTTGATGTGGAAACTCAGAGAATATATATATTCTGGTCATAGAAACAATTCAAACGATGCTGGATCGATGTATCGGAGCACTCACCTGTATACTGTGATGGACAGACGATGGCCATCGTTGAAGATCATATCCTTGGATAGGTGCATTGTGCCGTTGGTATTGTTGACGTTGGACCAATCCTTGAGTATGCGATGATCATAGACAACCTCATTTATCTCACTAGAATGGGCCATCTTCACATCGACTAAATCAATTTATCGATTCACTTTCGTTGCTTTTTTTTTTGTTCTTTATTTTGGAATAGTTCTTCTAATTGTATTTTAATTATTATTTTTTTCTGTATATTAAAAATAGAATTTGTTATTAAATAAATGTTCAATTTATCAACGAAGCCACGAAAGTATAGAAGTATAGAATGCACACTTAACTTCTACTATTTTGGAGAATTTCAATGTATTTTTATGTTATTTATTTTTAAGGTATTTATTAGCATACATAGTCTTCACATAGTCTGTTTAGCTTCAGGAAAAACGTGTTTATAGAAGCACCAAACCGGAATTTGTTTACAGTTTTATTTATGATTTCCCACTGTAATAAATGAAGCTATTTTCAGTTGGCAACTGTTCCTATTCGACTGCCCTGCGGTGTTCGGTTGCAGGACAAGAAAGTGTTTGTTTTCAGGAATTATATTACTTTTTTTTATGGGGGGCCTGTCATTTTATTACTAAATATATTTTATTGTATTTATTTTGCGTTGCATTAATTACGAGCGTATTTGTCGTTGCGCTCGTTTAACAGCCGCTCGAGATTATCAGATAATACGAGCACAAACAGAATGTGGACTCCTGGAAAGTCCTCTCTCGGCACCCGAACTGAATTGAGTTAATTTAATCGAATTCTACTCGATGCCGGATTGTGTGTTTTTCTTTGATAAGTTCAAGAAAATTTGTATTTTTCTTTGTTTTGTCATTATGGTTCGGTTCGGTTTTGATTTTCGTTTTTGGATTTTCTTGTTGCATGAAGATCACAGAGCGCTGCGACCTTAAACTAATTACTCGAACACTCCCTTGCCCGCACACATTGCGGAATATTTTCCATTTCCAAGTGATAATAATAAAAATTCCACTTATGCTGTGCTGTGCTCTGTGCCGTGTCGTGTCTTTCGCAGCATTAGTACAACAATAATTATAGTGGAGAGCATCTCGCTGCCTTATTAATCTGTTAATCAATTGCGCTCAATCGAACGGTACGGTCGCTCACTCAATTGAACAGCGACAAATTGTTCTCCACAGCATCCCAATCCTTGAGTCGGAATGGGAATTGTTTACGGTCTTTTTGTTTGGGCGCGCCGCGTTTGATGCCTTTTGAACTTAGCATTTTAATAGGCGAACACACACATAATTAAACAAGTTTTGTAGTAAATTTGAGAATTTCTGAAGCAACCCCCACCCAAAGTTCAACCAAGTGCTGTAACAGCTCTAGATATAACCCTGCGATTCAACTAGTTTCCACTAGCAATAAGTGTCAATTAATCACTTTTAATCTATATACATGTTGTGGGCATAATCATTGATTACGAGTACGCGTACGTGCTCTATAATTTCTTTTCTTCTAAATACATTTTCCTATATGTACTTAAATATTTTGTTTGCATTTATTTTCCTCTCATTTTGTGATTTCCGTTTTGTTCTGTGTTTTCTAAACACGCGGGCGCACCGTGAACGCGAATAGTATACTTATTACATACTGTAAAGATCGAAAAAGTTTTAAATAATTTACACGTTTTTTGCACACCTTTCGCAACACTGCCGATCGGCTTACAGCCCTTTTTTGCCGCCTGCCCACGCACACCCCACACGCACACACATACACGCGTTTGTATCGTTATCGATAGCTCATTTGGGCAATTCTCAATTATGGGCTAACGGTACACGGCTCTGTTATTTTTTTTCGATTTCCACCGAACGGCGAGCAGGAACTGACTAAACGGGCAAGGCGGCGGCTGCGGCTGCTGTGCCACTGCCTGCTGCCGTGAAATCGAAATCTCGACAACAACTGATAATCTAATAAAGAGAGAGAAGTACAAGTACAACAAAAAAGTGCGACTCGGGCGTCTTCTAGTTGGCAATGCCGCTGCCCCGCGATAACGGTAGCAGCGTCGGGCGACCCCAATTGTGTGTGCTGCTCGCGCCTGTTTTGTGTGTGTGTGAGTGTGTGCCGGCAAGTCCGCCCGCATAAAATTTCACATTAATCAATGCGTGTGTGTGTGTGTAAATTCAAAGTTCAACGCAAGGCCCGGCCCAGCCGGCTCCCAATCTATCTGTCTGCCAGCCTGCCTCCCGATCGCCATATGTCTCTACTTTTTGCTCATCTTTTCGGTTATCAGGCAGGGTGCCAAAAAAAAAATAAAATTAAATTAAATGAAACATCATTAAATTTAATATTACTTTATGGTCTTATCTGTTGTCTGGGTGGCGGCACGGCAAGTCTTGACTTTCCCTCCTGATGATACAAATATTCGGACTTTCAGCCGCTGCGCAGTTTATCCTTTTCCCGAAGATTTCAGCACTTGTGGATTCGTCGAGCAACCACTGTCATCTGCCGGCAGCCCTATGCCAAGGCTAACGATTTAACCTACGGCTAAACGGGCTCCTGCGAACTGACGGCGAGTCGCAATTGCAAAAACTGGCACCAAACCGTTCATTAAATCTAATGAGGGGCAGCACTGTTTGGTTCAACAAAAGGATTTTCATTTCAAGTTCATGTTCAGGGTCTGTGTGGCACCCGCTTTTGTATGCTATGAATGTGTATGGGTGTGCGTGCTGGTCGCGCTATCAAGATGCACCTGGCGCACTTGATAAGACGGTCAATCTGTCAATTACAACGAATGAGCATGTGGCATTGAGTACATGATCGAAATGGTATGAAAATCAGCTTTAAAAGTGGGAATTTGGCTTTGCAACAACATAGACTTTGGATAGACTCTGGATTAGCTTTCATATTTAATCAAATATCATAGCCTTACGGGCATTAGTGTTTATTTTATGTATCAATCTGCTTGCGAGCCTCTGTGAAATAAGTTGACAGCCCCTTTGTTTTTCGTATCAAAATATATAATTTATTGGTATCAAAATATATGAAAAGGACGGCCCCAACGGGCCACGCACAGGCCAGTATGGCCTATGGTTGTCAAGATGTATCAAAATATAAATTTTTCTTATCAAAATATATAGTAATTTTGTGCCCGAGCTCAAGCCAGAGCCCGAGCCGCAGCTCTAATTGAAGCGCAAGCAAATCTGCAACCAGTGTGGAACTTGGAGTAAGGAGATGACGACTTGGGGGAATCCATGGAATCTATATTGGCCAGCTAGATGGAATGGACTCATTACTAGAACGGTAATTAAATAGTTTCTTACAAAACGAACCTTTATGTTGTTTTGGGTATTCGAGTTAAATTGGACAGTGGAAATAGTGGATTGGGAACTGCACTGGTTGGTGTATTGGTACTTTGGAGTTTGGACGAACAGGGAGGACAGCCATCCGTTGAATCTACTGGATGGGTGTGAGTGCACTGGTTGGTGCATTTGGACTTTGGAGTTTCGACGAACAGGGAGGTCAGCCATCCTTTGAATCTGTTGGATTGGTATGAGTGCACTGGTTGGTGTATTGGTACTTTGGAGTTTGGACGAAGAGGAAGGACAGCCATCCGTTGAATCTGTTGGATTGGTGTGAGTGCACTTAGTACTCGAACGGGAATCAAATAACTTCTTTCAAAACGAACCTTTTTGTATATGAACAGTTGAAATGGGAAGGAACGACACATTTCGCAACATCTAAAAAAAAGGTATTATATAAAATAAATTATATTAATGAAAAAAAGAAATTTTGCTCACGGTTTTGTTTTTTTTTTTTCAAACTTTTCACTTTAAACCTAAATTATTAAAAAAAAATTCACTTTAAACTTAAATTATTAAAAAAAATTCACTTTTCACTTAATATCTAGAAAAAATAATTCTGAAATAAAACTTTTGTAAAATTTAGAATTTTTAGTTACTCTCTTGCCTGCCCTAGCATTACTGATAATTTTTCAGTAATTCCACACGATGTCGAATTTGACAGCTGGTCGGGCATGGGTTGCTAGTTTCGAGGTTTTTTGTATGAAATTTGGGGATACAGTCTTTTGATAAAATAAACAAGGTATTCGGAGCGAAAGTTGTTTGTTGCTGATTGTATATATGTAGCTACATATATATGCATTTCCGTTGAAAATTTCAAGCTAGCTCCCTCTTTCGGCAGGTGCCTGCGTTACGAAACATGTAAACATTATCTACATGGAAAGGCGGTATATTTCATAGATAAATTCACGGTCACACTGGTTTACATGTGCTTCGAAATCAAAATAAATTAATATTCAAAATGCTACGGAAATCAAAGAAACAGCCACAAACAGTGGCGGATAAAGTCAGCAAACTGCTGGCCCATCCCAATGGCAGCGATTCGGAGGAGGACTCTGACTTTGATGTGGCCACAGGGCCGCGCGTTGTGGATTTCGAGCAAGACGAATACGATCTGCCCGATGCTCGCAGCACGGATATTCGCAAGCGGAATGTGAAGCTGCTGTCGGAGCAGAGTGAGCGCTACAAGGGAAAGATCAGCAGTCGGAAGGAACTGGAGGAACTGGAGGAACAGGATGACCAGAGCGAGGAGGAGGTGCCCTATGAGGACAGCGACAGCGATGAAGATAATGCACTAGCATCCATTAATCAGAAGCTAAAATCTGGAACCCAAGAATCAGCGCACAGCGGAGAAGAGGATGATGAAGAATTCGACGACAACGACGACACTGAAGAAGAATTCGACGACGACGACGACACTGATGAACAATTCGACGACGACGACACTGATGTAGAGGCTGATGATAGCATCGAACCCTCTGATATCATGTCGAAATCGAATCCCCAAGCTGAAATCCAAAAAGGTCTCTGCGTCCAGAACCAACTACGCATCTGGGAGCGTCTCCTCGAGCTGCGCATCAACACACAAAAGGTCACCAGCAAAGCGAATCAGCTGCCACCGCCCGAGACCCTCAAAACCCTTGGCGCCGAGAACGAGGAACTCCAGTCGGTGCTGAGCGAGGCCAAGGAACGCTCCTCGAAACTGCTGCAACAGCTGCTGGCCCTGCAAACGGCACTCAGTCAACAGAACTCAGAGACAAGGAAATCGGTCAAGCGAAAGACAGTGTCATCGGAGGAGACAGAACCACCATTGAAAGTCTTTGCGAATGTACTGCAAAGCAATTTCCTGAACATGACGGGCTACCGCAATGAAGTGCTGCTGAAGTGGGACGATCGCACGAAACTTCTGACGCCAGGAGCGGGTCTGAAGCGAAAGTCGCTGCAGGAGGACTACGACATCATCAAGAAGATCGGCAGTGCCCTGGCCAATCGGGAGGCACTCGTCGAGAAATCCCAGACGCTGAAGAGCAACCAGCCGGAGAAGCAGCAGCAAGAGAACGATCCTCAACCGCAGCGGCAGCCCCATGTCTACGACGACAGCGACTTTTACCATCAGCAGCTGCGTGAATTGATTGAATACAAGGCCAGCACCTCGTCCAACATGAGTGAGATCACAAAGCAGTTTGTGGAGCTCCAAAAGTTGCGTCAGAAGATGAAAAAGAAGGTCGACACCAGAGCCAGCAAAGGGCGAAAGTTGCGGTAAGTAATTAAAGTAATTGAGTTAAAACATCTACTAATCCCCCTGTTTTTCTTCCAGTTATGTGGTGCACAATAAGCTCACTAATTTCATGGCTCCCAACGAGGCTACCGAGTGGACGGAAAGCTCCAAATCCGAGTTGTATAAATCGTTGTTTGTCTAGCAAAATATATCTAAATTTCCTATAGATTATTCATATTCTTTCCATTTGAACATTTGAGTATCGTTGAACAAACAAATCGAAATCGTCAAGTGCACTACGATATTATCTGGAACACTTTCAGGACATATGTGTCCCTGAAAGGATAGTTCTTGCTGAGAAATTGTTCAATTGGTATTTCTCCTGAAATAGGGCAGAGATTTCTGAGAAACTTTTAATTCTACATATCTCTATGCATCAAAGTTTTGGTTGGACTTTTCTATGTAGGCTTAAAAATCCCCGAAGATCAAAAGATGTCTAGCTTTATTTATCAGATTTAAAATACTACGGAAAATGTTCCGAGATAACTGTTTCTTTGTCTTTCTGTGGCTGTCGCTTTGATCATTTTAAACCCCCAAATATTTTAAAATTAATTCTAATTAAAATGAGTGACCAATTGGATTGAATTTGAGTTTTATTTATTTTATATATTTATGTATATTTTCGCTTTTCGTTTGCTTTTTATTTTTAACTGCTTAATTTTTGTATGTTCAACATTTTCATTTTCGTTTCGTTATTTTATTTGCGTGTCAACTGGGATAAATTATGTATATGTATCCACCAAATGCTGCATAACAAATATGGCTTGAATATAACCGCAAATGTACAATCAGAACCGCTTCATAACCGTTTCGTTTAGTGGGTTTCGTTTTTAGTGGGTGTGTTGGTTGTTTTGTTGTTGTGTGGGTGTGTAAGGAGGATTATATTATGTACTATTTTGCTGCTGGCTTTTCAGAGTTAGCATTTTTATTTTATTTATATTTATATAATTTGTTAATATATTAAACTAGTTTTCCACATGACTCTTGACTTGGTATTCGTTTAAATTACTTTGCTAGTGTTTTCGTTATTTTACTGGGACTTGTTCCTTCTCTCTTCTTCGTTATTTGTTCTTGTTGTTTTTTTTTCAATTATAAAATTCTCTTTATTTTATCTACCATATATGGTTTTGTTTTGCATTCTTTTCTTAGTATTTTCGTCGTCTAAGTCATTGTTTAGTTATACATACGTTAAATTCATATATTTATATTGTATATATGTATAGTATTATGTATAATGTGAGTGAAATTATCAATATAAATTGCAATAAATTGATGATGGAGAGGTTTCCAGAATACAGAATAGAATACACAAAAAATATAATAAATAAATATTTAAATTAGTTTTTGCCTAGGATTTAGAAAATACAAAAAAGTTTCGTCTAAAAATACTATAAAAAAACAATACATTTTATCGAGCACATTTACAAAATAAAATTCCTGTCTCTTTGTTCGATAGAAGTTGATGTCTTTGGGAAATGAGTTTGGGTGTTGGGTAGGTGTTTTCATTGTCAAGCTCTCATTAAAAATTAATTAACAATTAGCTGAAAGTGTGTAGAGCACATACATATAATATCATTGTTTATATTGCATAAATATTGCACTGGGAATATTCGCGCATGTTTTTTCTTTGACTATCTGCTCAAAGATCTACAAAAAGTGGTGACGATTCTAAATACTGTGTTTGAGGGCACCAAAAAGACGCTATACATACAAATGACGAAATCTAAGCCTACAATGATTGTGGGGGAAGGGGTAGTGATACAAATACATAGGGGGGTGCGTGCCTGTTTTCCTTTTGACGTTTCTCTCGTCCTTTTTTGTATACAAACTACAAATATATAAAGATTACAAAAATGTCGCTGACTAATTTCTCATTCTTCTTTCGATTTGTTTCTCTAATTGTTAATGGAATTTTTCAGCAACAGGGGCAGCCCGGTTTTAGTTTTTGATTTCGATACGAGTATTGTGGCAGTTTTTGCCCCCCCACCAGAGGCGGCAGCGGCAGCCTCCGCGGCGGCAGCAGCAGCACCTGCCTCACTGGCGGCCACTGAGCTGCTGCGGCGTCGCGGTGCCGCCTGTCGTTGGTGCAGCTCCTGGAGCAGGGCCGAGTGCTTGTCGAGGGCTTTCAGCTGTGCCGTGTTCTGGGTCTCATACAGCGACGACTGCAGCTGGGTGTGGATCGAGGTGACATTCGAGAGAGTGCTCTCGGCCTCGGCCATAAGAAAATTGCTTAAATAACGTTTACTAGTTGTGGTTGCTGATGTGGTGGTGGTGGTCGATGATGTCGTTGTAGTTGTTGTGGTTGCCATTGTAGTCTGTTCCTGCGCTGAAACCTAAGAAGTACACTTTAAATATAAAGAAATACTGAAATATCTCCTGATGGCACTCCTGCAAACCTTTCTTTTAACCCCCGACTCTGTGTCTCAAGTGCACTTGACGGGATGTATGACATTTTCCATATCCTTTTGCACGGCATACAGCTCCGACAGCTGCTTGGCAAACACCACATTCAGTTCGCTCAGTTTTGCCAGCTGCAACAAAAGAGAAAACACATATAGGATGATATCCATTCCCTTACATGGATATTCCACTTTCACTTACAGTCTGATCATTGCACTTTTCCCTCAGTGTTATGTTCACCGTCTTAAGCTCTAGTTCCTGCTGCAGCAGCTCCGCCTGCTGTTGCTCTGTGCGCGCCTTCAGAGCCGCCACTTCGCGACGCAGTTCATCCTCTGTACCTCCCCCGGCAGCCGCAGCAGCTCCAGCCCCACCGCCAACGCGCATCAGATCCATTTCACGCTTTAGGCGTATATTCTCCTCCTTGTAGGTGTGCAATTGACGCTTCCATTCGTCCACATTGGCCGTAGATTCCTAAATGAGAGAAGCGATAGAATGAGAATGGATTGAGACTTAAAAGATCCGAGAACTCACCTGCAATGCACTGGTCAGGCGTATGTTGTTATTCTTTAAGGTCGCCAGTTCGATTTCCCATTTCTTGGCATTGGCACAGCTATAAAAAAAAAAAAAAACAGTTCTTTGATTTACGATCCCTAAGTTAATCCCCTTCATTGCTCTCACCTTTGTGCCAGTGCCATTTTCAGGCGTTCATTCTCGTATTTTAGCTGCTGCTCGGCTGTGGCGCCCGCTCCGGGTCCCGTATGCATGCCCACAATGCTGCCGCCCGAGGAGATGGTCACAGCACCACCACCGCCGCCGCCTCTTAAATCGCCAGCTCCTACATTAGTGGGCTGTGGTGAGGGCGTGGCCGAGCCAATGTCTGGCTTGCCGTCGCTTGTGTTCAGCAACTTGTGGGAGGGACTGTCCGGATTGGCGTTCTGTGTGTTTGTGTTGCTCATATTTGGCGGCTCCACGGTATGCGGATCGATGGCAGTATTATCGTTTTGCATGGCACCAATAGCCCGTCCGGAAATGGGCGAAGTGTTGGCCGATGTGGTGGGCGTGACGGCATTCGAGCCATTGGCCGATTTCATGGCATTTTTGGTAGCTTCCTTGACCTCCTGGAATTTCTCAACAAACTGAAACGGGAAAGGGATTCGTTAAGAGGCGGAGGAAAGTACACCCAATCGATGATGATAATGATGCCCATTACCTTTGTTAGCTCTGCCTCGGAGGCAAAGCCCAGTCCATACACCGTATTTGCACGCACATCGCTCCATTGGCCAAACTTCTGGGAGGTCTGTGTGAATGTCATGTTTGGGGTGATGGTGGAGTTGATCACCGCCTTGGTGCCCTCGACGCTAATGATGCGGTAGAGATTCCGTGAGCTGTCATAAAAGAAGCTCACATTCACAGCCTTCATGCTGGCGGTGATCCAGGTGCGTTTCGTCTTGGGATCAATATGGAAAACATGCGCCTGGCAGGTGAAAATCGGTTGTTCGCTGTGGAGGGAGAGTCAAGAAGGGTGGGTGGGTGCGACACACACACACAGGTGTGATTAAATAAAAAATTCCATTTTATAGCCCCAACCACGCTCCTAATTAATATTTAATGCGTGTCCTTATCTATTACCAAGTCGCTGACATTGCTGCTGCTTCTCTCTCTGGGTGCGTATTCCGTGCGTCGCGTAGCGTTCTTTTCTCTTCCTGTTCTGTTCGCGTGGGCGACTGGCGACGACTAAATTGCATTATGTGCTTAAGCCCTTTGCCTTTGGCCCCGCAGCTTGCCTTTGATTCCGCCTCAAGCACGGCCACACACTCTTCTATATATACATATATAATTGGTCAGGCCACCTACTACTGAACATATATACATCTACAATGTACGTACGTATATATACGCCGCCCGCTATACACCATGGAAATAAATGTCAGCGACACCGACGGCGTCGATTTTTCCCACACAATATTCAATATTTCACACACATTTACACTCGAAACAGGCCTTACCCCATGATATTTTTATGCTTTGGCGCTTTGCTGGCTCTTGTGGCAACGAATTAGCTGTGGCCCAGTCGTTTATCTGTCTTAATTTGTTGTTACAAAATAAATAAAACAAATGCTTGCAAAAACGCCTTAGAGCTGGAGATACAACGATGCAGTGCTGCCAACTTTTCATCAGGAAAAAAGCCGTTTCTAGCTTGGACAAGAGAAAAAAAAGAGCTGAGAAATTCCATTATTCATAGCGCACAAGATTTTGCTGACCGGTAAACTTTTTTGCTTGAAGTGCCTGCCAGTTTTTACTTACTCTTGATGTAAATGTGGCAACTTAAAAAAAAGCCTAACAAAGCCAAAGCCAAATTTCTAAAAAATCAGTATGTCCGCAATTCCCAATTTTTCCCGCAGTTGGTTTTCAAAAACAGCCAGATTTGACGGTAAAAAGCGGAATCGGCAGCACATCGTCGATGACTGCTGTAGCCCAGTGCTGTCATTTTAGAAGCTACATCTAGCAATTTTATATTTGGGATTTAGAAAATATTTTTTTTTGTTAAATACATTCCAGCTTTTTGTAGATCTCTTGGAGAATTGCTCTTTTCGTAGCTGTGTTGATCCATTGACGCCGGTCAAGTTGTTCTTCCATATTGCCCATGAAGTATATTTGCAAGAATTTATGCTGTGCTTCTCTATAGGTTGCAATGATCCAATGCAATGGCAAATCTGGCCTTGAATCTGTAAAGTCAAATAATAACATGCCATTTTTATTTCAGAGACAAATACAGAAATCTAACAAACTGCATTCCAGATTTATTTTACAATGATAGAAAATAAAGTTTTTAACTTAAATTACCTTAAATGTCGGATTATATTCGTGTTATTCGATAATTTCCGCCCCAAATGAAGTCATTTGGAAACAGACATTGTATTTTTGAGTGTTCGCTAGAAAATGTCGTGATTCTAGTGTTTCGCCATAAAGCAGGGAGCACAATGGCTCTGGTGGCGGGACCAATAATGGCAATTTCACTTTACCACTAAGGCAGCACAAACCAGGCGTTTCACCAGCAAACTTCAATGCTCCACAATGCTGGCAAACAACGTCCATTGGACCAATGCAAACTAAACCATGCAAGCTGTAGTCGATGGTGCAATCATACAGAAACGCTGCTCGATTCAAATCAATACTTGAACCATTTCTTCTTGCACTTCGAAGATTATTCCTCTGTTCATCTGTACGATAAGCTCGACGATTTCTCCTTTCTAACCTAGCCGTTTCACGGGCTGCCTCTCTTTGCTCTTGTGTTTGAGAAGCACGAATTAAGGCCCTTCTTTGCTCCATACTAACACGGCGCTGTTCTCGTGCAATTTCTCGTTCTCCATCAGATAATTGACTCGCGATATTCCGTTGCCTAATTGCATTAATGCTTCGCTGGGAAAGATTAGATCTTCTAAGACGCGGCATTGTTATTTAAATGTGCACTCGCATAAAACCACCAAACTGATTTTTTATTCCCTAAATTCCGTTCCTTTCCGATGATTTTATGTTTTTACTGTAGAATAATTTTCGGGAATTTGACTATTTGACAGGATTGGACAACAAATGTCTGACATGGAGAAAGAAAAACAATGAAAACTCGATATGTGTAACAAGCAAATCAGCATCTATTGAAATGCATCTATTCATTACACATATCGAGTTTTCATTGTTTTTAAGATGTATTCTGCTATTCGGGACGGAAACAAATCCAACAAATCAAAAACCATGGCAATCGGTCCAGCCGTTCTCGAGTTATAAGGGTTGTAACAAACACGACTTTCTTTTATATATAAGAAAGAAAAGATATAAAGAAGATTATTATATATAGTAAGTATTTAGTTCTTCCGGTAAAACCAGCGGCTTCGATTTCAAATTCAAATGCTGCCAACTTTTTCTGAAATGTTGCTGTACGTCTGGAGGCTGCCAGAAAACTGCAGCCGGTAAATTATTTTTGGAATTTATGATTTTTTCGTTCTCCGTTTACGGTTACATCTTTTCCACTCAAGTGGCAACACCGCGAGTTTTCGTTTTTTTCGCACACGATAAATTCGGAAATTATTGTAATTATTGGAGGAATTGAAAAAAGAATAGAGCCCTAGGACATATGCAAAGGCTAGACAGCGGGCAAAGGTGTTGTTGCTGCTGCTGCCCTGCCGCCGTGTGATCGATTGGGGTACGTTTTCAGCAAAGGAGCAGCGCTGCGGAGGGGAGAGTTTTTTCTTTCCTCTTTTTTCACTCTTTTCCCCTTTTTTTTTTTTGCATAAAAGCCGTCCCCCACATTCGAGTTGTAAAGGTGAAAAGGCGTTTTGGCCAAGTCGTAGACCAGCTGTTGGTTTTAATGAATGGATTGGAGTGTGTTTCAGTTAATTGTAGTTATAAAATGCGTGAGAGCGACACACCTATGATAAAAAATATGTCACTTGTGCGAAAGAGACCGTGTGCGTGCGTGCTCCTCCAGTGTGTGTGTGTGTATATGCTGTATGGCAGTGTGTGCGTGGGTGACTCTGAGCGTGTGTAGAGTGTGGATGTGTGTGTGTGTAGAAAAACTTGTTATCAATGCGGCGCCTATGATAAAAGTCTCATTAGACATGTTTCTCCAACGAATTCCAATCGGAATTTCTGTCCCCCCTCTCTCAAGCCACTCTCTATGTCACTGTCTCTCTCTTTATTGCATTGTAGTGTTGCATGCCTATGTGTGTGTTGTGGCGTGCTCTGGCGTGCCTCAAGTAAATAATGTGGAACATGATGTGCGACGTAATGCCCACGATTTCGGAGGACAGCATATCGCAGCGCTCCTCGCAGTTCAGCGGCGAGGATGCGAATTTCGAGCAGCTGATGGTCTCCATGCTCGATGAGCGGGACAAGCTGATGGACAGCCTGCGTGAGGCGCAGGAACGGCTGGGCGAGACGGAGGTGAAGCTGCACGATGTCGAAAAGGAGCGTGACAGTCTCCAGCGTCAGATCAATGCCAATCTGCCGCAGGTGAGTGGAGCATGAGCCTCTGAACGGGAGGAAATACTAATCCCTGGAATCCCTGTAGGAGTTTGCCACACTCACAAAGGAACTGACACAGGCTCGCGAGACCTTGCTGGAGCGCGACGAGGAGATTGGCGAACTCAAGGCGGAACGTAATAATACCAGGGTAAGAAGCTTTGGGGCCGATCCCCGCCTTGAAGTACATTCCAAAATCCATTGCTAAATGTGGGTCTCTCTTCCTCGCAGCTTCTACTGGAACATCTGGAGTGCCTGGTGTCGCGGCATGAACGCTCCCTTCGAATGACAGTGGTGAAAAGGCAAGCTGCCGCCCAGAGCGGCGTCTCCAGCGAGGTGGAAGTGCTCAAAGCCCTGAAATCCCTGTTCGAGCACCACAAGGCGCTGGACGAGAAGGTGCGCGAGCGACTGCGACTCTCCATCGAGAAGAACAATGTGCTGGAGGAGGAGCTGAATACAACCAAAGAGGAGCTGACGCAGTACAAGGCAGGGGGCTCGGGAGTGGGAACAGGGAGTGGCTCCGTTCCAGGCGGCGGCACTGAGAATGGCCTGAAAGAGAAGGTGCGTACGCGGGTGCAATCAACCGTGTCGGCTAGGTCCCAAATTTACAACCGTTTCTCGTTCGTTTTGGGATTTCTGTTTCGTTAGATGGCGGGTGGCGTGGGCGGAGCCGGCGGCGTCAATGGGGAGGCCAACGAGCTCAACGATTATGCGGCCAAAACCCACGAGCTGCAGACGATCATCGAAAAGCAGGTGAGAGACAGAGAGAGAGAGAGAGAGAGAGATGCAGGCAGCCACACAGCATCTGCTGAACATGTGTTACCAACACCCCCGCCCTTCCATTCCACAGACCTCGGAGCTCTCGCAATGGCAGCGACGGGTTTCCGATTTGAACAACAAAATCAGCGAACTGGAGGAGAATATGTCGCGGGTGCAAAAGGATCATTGCAAGGCGCAGGATCAGTGCTCCAAGCTGCAGCGTGATCTGCGTGAGAATGTGGCCCAAAAGGAGGATCAGGAGGAGCGCATTACCACGCTGGAGAAGCGCTATGTGAATGCCCAGCGCGAGTCGACATCGCTGCATGATCTGAACGAGAAATTGGAGCAGGAATTGCGGCACAAGGAGGCGCAGCTAAAGGTGGGTACACGGGTACACATCCCCAAAGACATGCAACTGGGCTATCGGTCACTAAATTCCTTCCTCAAATGTAACTAATAAACTGCATTTAATCGAAAACCCACCACGTTATTGCTACACCCAACAAAACACACACAAAAATTGAAAACCGAAACCACATGTCGATCGACTCAATAATCCAGCTGCACGAGGAAAAGATCGGAGCCATTGAGGAGAAACTGGAGCTATCCGAACAGAAGCTTGCCCAACATGCCAAACTTCAGCCCGACATGGAAGAGCAGCTGAAGGCCCGCATGGAGGCATTGACTAAGGTAGGAAATAAGGTATGCACTCGAACAACTAATATGCGCGCCATGGCCAGGTTCCCATATATGTCCGACGACCAAGTATCAGTCGAATTCAATTCAATATTCAATTATATTTAATTTAAAGCTCTTTCTTTTTGTACCAATACTCCAATACTTTACACAAAACAAGAAAAAACTCTATCTATCTCTCTGTCTATGTATGTAATCCCCCCCTCTAAGTGCACAAGAACTCTTTCTCTTTCCCTACCAAAATCAGACCAAAACTAAACCTCACCTTTAGCTTTTCATTCCACGCACAACTTTCTACTAATTTCTTTTAATTTTCATTGCAACATTATGGATTGTGGAATATGATTACTAAACCTCTTTTGGCTCCAAAAACAAACACACATTTCAGGCTCAAGAGAGACACGGTTCGGCCGAGGATCGTATCCGGGGACTGGAAACGAATCTGGACGAGAAGACAACGGAGGTTGTAAGACTGAACCAGCGTCTCAAGATGAACGAGGAGCACAATCTGCGTCTGTCTTCGACGGTCGACAAGCTGCTCTCAGAGTCCAATGAGCGGTTGCAGGTGCATCTGAAGGAGCGCATGCATGCTCTGGACGAGAAGAACGTCCTCACGCAGGAGTTGGAGAAGGCGCGCAAGGTGGCCGAGGAGCTGCATCACGAGAAGAGTGAAATCATGAAGGAGCTCTCCAAGACGCGCCTGGAGATTGAGAACTTTAAGCGGCAGCTGCTGCAGCAGGAGATCGCCTACAACATCCAGCAGACGGAGGCCCTTACCCGCAGCCTCTCGCCCAGCAGCGTCATCGATGGCAGTGGCCAGTTCTCGCGGAGCGCCTCGCATGCCAGCTTCGAGACGCACTCGCTGCGGCGCCAGAAACAGTCACGGCTGACGGAAGAGAATGCCCTGGCCCGCTCCATGGCCGAGCAGGAGTGGGAGAAGCTGCAGCAGGCGGCGCATGCCCAGCAACAGGCCTACGACCTGGTGACCAGTGCGGCGGACTGTGACGACAGCGATGTGCTCTATGCGGCAGCCACGGCGGACATGATGTCACCATCGGGACACACGGACGCCCAGACACTGGCCATGATGCTGCAGGAGCAGCTGGATGCCATTAACAATGAGATTCGATTGATCCAGGAGGAGAAGCAGTCGACGGAGGCGCGTGCCGAGGAGCTGGAATCGCGAGTCGGCAGTCTGGAGCATGTGAATCTGTTGGCCCGCGGTCGGTCCATGGACAGGCAGAGTCCAGAAATGAGTGGGAGGAGCACTCCCAACAGCCCGCAAAGGGATTTCATGCAGAAATATCATACGGTAAGAGAGGGGATTCTCTATTCTCTGGGACCCCATTTAATTCGATTTTTTCGCAGCTCAACTTGCCCGTGCTGTCCAGCGATGCCTCACGCGAGGAACTCCATGGGGGCATGTCCACCACTGGCGATTCGAGCTCTGGCGGTGCTGCATCACCTCTGACGGCCCGTTCGATGCGCTTGGAGCGTGTGGCACAGGCCCTGGCCCACAGTCAGGAGGAGCTGCGTCGTCGTTCGATTGGATTGAACCCGAATGCGGCTGTTTCGCAAAACCACAACCACATGGCCATGAGCAGTCACGGCAGCTACGGCCTGTCGCCTTTGAGTTCGCGCTACGGCAGCCAGGAGTCGCTGCGCCACTACAACACTATGGGCTCCATGTCCATGCTGCAGACACCCACCTCGGGCGTGTCCAGAGAGGCCGCCGCTGCGGCCGTGCAGAAGAAGAAGGGCATCAAGTCCTCGCTTGGGCGTTTCTTTAGCAAAAAGGAGAAGGTCAAGGGCGTCAAGGACACGCTGCCGGACGGTTCGCCCAGCATGATGTCCATTGGCAACCTATCGATCGGCCTGAGCGAAGTGGACTCCAACTACGATGCCATGAGCATGACGGGAGGCATGATGCCGCGGATCGCCAGTGCACAGGGATCAAAGATCAGCAGCGTCGACTATGGCAGGCAGAAAAAGTAAGTACACAAAATGATTGAAGGTTTATTTGCCGAGGAAATTAATTGCCTTTGTTTTCTCTCCACCACAGAGAGCACGACTATCGCAACGATTTGTTGGGTGAGGCCATGAAGGCGGGCACACCGTTTGCCCTGTGGAATGGTCCCACAATTGTGGCCTGGCTGGAGCTGTGGGTGGGCATGCCCGCCTGGTATGTGGCCGCCTGTCGGGCCAATGTCAAATCGGGTGCCATTATGAGTGCCCTCAGCGATACGGAAATACAGCGAGAGATTGGTAAGGCACCAGAATCAATAATTTCATTGATATTTCATTGATTTAATTGTGAAATCCTTCCATCAGGCATTAGCAATCCCTTGCACAGACTCAAATTGCGTTTGGCCATACAGGAAATGGTTTCATTAACCTCTCCCTCGGCGCCACAAACCTCCAGAACCACATTGGCATTTGGTGAGCCATCAGAAAAAGTCTCCAGATTATAGCTAATCTCTCTTTTCATAGGCGACATGAATCACGAGTGGATTGGCAACTATTGGCTGCCTGGACTGGGTCTGCCGCAATATCGCACAACATTTATGGAGTGTCTAGTCGATGCCCGCATGCTGGACCATCTTACCAAGAAGGATTTGCGTGGCCAGCTGAAAATGGTGGACAGTTTTCATCGCACCAGCCTGCAGTACGGCATATCAATGCTCAAACGCTTGAATTACGATCGCACCGAGCTGGAGCACAGGCGAAAGATGAGCGAGAATGGACTGTGCGATGTGCTGGTGTGGAGCAATGAACGTGTCATACGCTGGGTGGGCAGCATAGGACTTAAAGTGAGTGAGGGAGAACTAAAAGGAGTCGAAAAGGGATTATAAATTTGTTTCTTTTACAGGAATATGCCAACAATCTGCTCGAATCGGGTGTGCATGGGGCATTGATGGCCCTGGATGAGGGCTTCGATGCCACTGCCATGGGCCTGGCCCTACAAATACCCACACAAAATGCTCAGGTGAGTGGACCTTATATCGTTCATAAAAAAATCCTACTAATTTCTGAATTTATTTTGGTTTTAGGCTCGCCAAATACTCGATACGGAGTTCAATAATCTCCTGCAAATTGCCACAGATCGGAGGCCGGAGAACGAGCAGCGTAGCGCATCCTGATGCAGCTACAGTCCGCCCACAACATCGGTGGATGAGTAATCAGTAAAGCAAAGCAAAGAAGCAGGCACTAAAAAAAGACCACGGGCAAAAGACCTTTTTCCTAAGCCTAAGAACTAGAAATGAAGCAGCTGATGAGAGACAGAAATGAAATGTAATGTTAGCATCCACTAAAAGCCACAAAAAATTCTAACAAGAAAGACGCAACGCAAGAGACTCCCCCCGCAGCATGATGCACGTCTAATCCATATGCAATATATATATATATATATATATATATATATATACATATATAAATACATATATAAATACACGCATAGTCATACATATACGTATATCCATAAAACCAACAACAAGACAATGTATACAAGACATAGCACATACTCTATATAGGAAATATTGTACGAGCGATCAAGTTGGGGTGTTTGCGGTTTCAGCTGCCGCTGCCGTGTACAAGTTTTAGAAGCTAAACAGTTTATTCGGATTGTATAATTCTAATTATTATATTTTTTACCAAGTGACATATATAATTTATATATAGCGTATACATATATACGATAGTATAATTGGGCTTGCAATAGACTAACAGTATTTTGTTTTATAGATATTGATTGATTGATTTGTTGTTCGTATCTCTGAACATACAATACAGACAGATCGGACAGAGAGTGTGCTTCGAACCAAATTCGTAACCAAACATTGTTTGTTATATAATTTTTATTGCATTTTTGTACAGTTTTTATTTATAATCATTTAAAGAAGAGTTTTTTTATATGGCAAAACTAACATACGCTTTACATCTGGACATTAGATGGCGTTCCAAATGAGTTTATAAACTGAATGAACAACATGCACAACAATCAGGCATACATATATAGTAAACAGCTGCATATACATACATATATACATGCAAATACATATATATATATATATAAACGACTAGTTTAATACACGTACACACACGTACACATATATAAAGCTCACTTCTATATATATACATATACAGTAAACAGTAAATATATATATAGAATATATTATCAAGCATACGTGTAACTAACAAAAGAAAGTATTAAAGAGGGAGGAAAGTGGATCGAAGATGGATCGAATAAGTCGCAAGCGCCCATTCAAAAATCAACTATTTACACACACTTACATATAAACATATACGACATGAATCCAGTAATTGAACAAGCTTTAAGGGCGAACTAAACCTAAAACTAAAACAAACTTAACTCTTAGCCTGTGCTTTACCTTTCTCTTAACTCGAGCATCATAAATTATTTGGCATTGCGAGGCATTGAAATCTTTAAATAATTCGTATGAATATTCACAACAAACAAAAAAAAGAACAAAAATCTAAAAGCATATCCATTGTTTTTCAAAACACACCCTACCCCCACCCCTCCCCTAAAACAACCACTTTCCATTTTTCTATGTTGTTACGTTTAAGGTTATTCTACCAGTATCCCTCTATTTAAGTTTCTGATGTACTTATTTGTGCAGATCTACATTAAAGCACACAAAACTGCCTGCATAACAAAATATCCAAACCCCACATACTACTTATTCAGTTTTGGATGTTCTGTTCTGTGCATTATGTTTAAGTTGCAACCAAAATCGTAACTAACGCTTGTCTTTAAGTTGAGAAATATGTATGATTAAAAGAGGTATAAACATTTAAATTTAGTTATACGACAAGTAAAAATATCTACCTATAACAAATACTAACAAGACATGAAGCATACTTAATGAAATTATTTCAAACGTATTAGAAAAATTAATAACAGCATAAAATCCATGCGTAAAAGAACTTCTAAACACAAGGGGTAACTTATTTATGTATGTTAACGGTAGCATTAACTAAGTAAAACCCAAGATTAAAGCAAATATTTATGATGTGTAACTTAAATTTACTAAATACGAGTACTAATGCAAAATCTAAGTTAATTTAAACGTAGGATGGATTGGTTTGGTTTAATTGTTGACTTTTGTTGAATAATCCACGAAAAGAAGATACGACGGAATGATGAACGTAACTAAACTAAAATAATGATATATATAAAATTGAAACAAATTGATGATTACGCATACGCAGCATATGTAAATACTATATATTTAAAAGAATATTGTGAAAAGCATGCAAAATATGGAAATGGACAAAACAATACTAACAATTTAGTAAAGGCGAAAATTCCGTTTAGGAGTTTTTTATATGTACCATATATATTTGAAAAGATGAAAAACCAACAAAAAACAAAACAAAAACACCCACAAAACAAAAAAAAACAACAAAAAACAAATGAAGAAAATATAACTATAAATTAAAATTTATTACAAAAAAAAAAAATAATAACCAAAAAAATAGTTTTCACTACTTCATTCATTGAGGAACCATTTGAGCGATCTGCTAGGAATGATCAGTGCTCTTTTTTCAGTACGAATGTATGTATGTATATTTATTCAATATTTCACGTCGTTTGGTAGAATTGAGATCCGTCTTTTTCCCATGGGAAATTGAGGAAATTTAAGTTTTTACATTATTAATTTTGAAATATTAACTGCAAATTCGATAGACCTTGTTACCCTTGCTTTCGTATGTTTTCCATACAGCAACCCTTGATTCCACTGTCTGTGTGGCTGTATGCTGCGGGACAGGTATCCCTTAGGGTTCTCCTATTTTATTCAAAATTTTGTCTCCGCCTTTTTTTTTGTTTGTCAGCAGGATATATCTTTTGATATTTGGTTTCGAATTCCATTTTTGTTTGAAAGGAAATGTTTTTTAAGTCAAAGATTTTTCGTTTGTGAATGATCCACTGTTAGAAATTGTTTGGCCTCAGCTTCAAAATTCCTCGTTAATTTGCAGCGGGGCGGACCAGCTGCTTTGGCAACGAACACACACCGCACGCACACACACAGGATACGGATTATCGCAGAGATCACCAGCATTCCTAGTACCAAGCATCGCAGCAGCCACGCTCCACGATCCTCGACCCGTCGTTGCCATCACCACACAACACGACATGGCCACCAAAGACCAACCTGCCACACAACGCAACAGCTTGACCAGTGGCCAGCCGATGCCGAGTGCCTCAACCACGAATCACCGTCACCGGTACTATAATCCCGTCTCGAAGATTCAGTCGCTTATCCACAACCTGGACGCTGAGCTGGTGCAGCTATGCAAGCAGTGTTCGGTGCCAAAGCCGCCGAGTAGCAGCAACGTTAACACCGGAATCCACAGCAGCAGCTATGGGGCCACCGTGGCCGCTGCAGGATTGGGATCAGGAGGCAACACGCCGCACAGGGGTTTGATAAGCGGCCACTATGACCAGGACAGCATTAATAAACTCCTGGCACGGGCACGGTCCATATCGACCCCAAGATCGGCATCTGGCGCTACCACGCCAATATCTCTGGCACCCGATGCCCAGAAGCGTCAGCTGAGAAACGTGTACCGGACGCGGGTGATCGATGCCTATCGCAACCGGAGGATCTTCACGGTGTACGGCAACTACCATACAGTGCGACGGGCACTGGTGAGGCGGGGCTGGCTGGAGAAGCTGCCGGCGTCGCGGTACGCCAAGCTGCAAACCATGTCCGAGGATTCCCTGCTGGAGCATGCGCGGCGGGGCAACGACTACGAGACGGTGGTCATATCGAAGATGATCAATCATTTTCCTTCCTTCTTTATTTGGCAGAGCAAGGGCCAGCGCGATCTGTTCTCCGAGGTGCGGCCATTCCGCAACCGGGTGAGGCGGAGCCAGTTCCTGGACTTCTCCACCAAGGTGGGTCTGGTCGGGTGCGCCGAGCAGGAGCGCTGGTATCGCGAGGACGGCGTTTGCGGCATGAGCTATCCGCGCTTCTACCGCCTGGGCGGCAACAACGTGGAGGAACGCATGGCCTTCATCGAGGACTACCAGCAGACCCAGGCACGCTCCCTGCTGCGACACATCATGGAACACAAGCCCGAAGAGCTGATAGACATGGACAACGGCACCATTATGACCACCAACCTGGACTATGCCCTGGCCAAGGTCAAGCAAATGGTCAGACAGGCGGAGCACTACTCCCTGGACGATGCGCGGATCAAGCCGCCCACCCCAGCCGAAATCGTGGAGATCCAAACGTTTATGACGCAGTCCGCAGATGTCCTGAAGTCGCAGGCCAAGTTCCGGATCAGCGAGAAGGTCATGACGGAGTACGCCCGCCTGGCCACACAATATCTCGACCAGATTGAGTCCCTGCGTCCCGACTATTGCTGGGATGGCAGTCGCAATCTGTGGATCCTGAAGCCGGGCTATCAGTCGCGTGGCATTGGCATCGTCATACGCAGCTGCCTGGACGACATTCTCCAGTGGACATCGAACAATCAGAACAAAAAGTACATTGTCCAGAAGTACATAGGTGAGTGGCATTCAATGCGGTGGTGGTATCCTCATGGTTTATTGTACCCATCTTCTGCTTGTAGAGCGTCCATATCTGGTGTATCGGACAAAGTTCGACATACGGCAGTACATGCTGCTGACAATCGGGGAATCCAAGGTAACCGTCTGGACATATCGCGATTGCTACCTGCGCTTTAGTTCGCAGGAGTTCACCATGGACGATCTGCGGGAATCGATCCATCTGACCAACAATTCCGTGCAGAAGCGCTACAAGAACAAGCAGAATCGCGATCCCCGTCTGCCGAAGCACAACATGTGGTCGCTGGATCAGTTCAAGGCCCATCTACGGCATGTGGGTGCTCCGGACGATACGTGGTCAAATATCTACAATGGCTTCAAGCAGAATCTGGTGGCCGTGGTGATGGCAAGCCTGGATGAGACCGAACTGGTGAAGAACGCCTTCGAGCTGTATGGCTGCGACTTCATGCTGGACGAGCACTACAATCCCATCTTGATAGAGATCAACTCAACGCCGGATCTGTCGCCCTCGACGGAGGTTACAGCCAAGATTTGCCCCGTTGCCATCAAGGATTGCATACGCGTGGTGGTGGATCTGGCCAAGAATCCCTTGGCACCCACGGGCCAGTTTGAGCGAGTCTTTGAGGTCAACTACAGCATCAACAATGGAGCCGATGTACACCATCCCCTGGAGCTCAACGGCAAGCAGATGACCATCTTCGAGAATCTACCCCCCAAGCTTAAGAACAACAACCGGACACGTATGCTCCGCAAGATTCTGGACAATGTGAAGATCTCAGCGAGTCGCAAGCTCGACAAGATTAAGGAGGCCCCAGCCAAAGTGGCCAAAGTAGCCAAGGCCACCGCTTCTACCAAGAAGAAGGTAAGTCGAGTGCTTAGAAAAAAACCAAGCCTCAAAAATGTTCAAGAATTCTATTGCTTTCCCTTAAAAGAAATCATCAAAGAGCGCTACTGGGTCAAAGGTGAGTTCGGGGGCACCCTCGGAACAGGTCTCTCAAACGCAACATGTGGGACCCAAGATGATCTTGACCTCAAAAACTCGCGAAAATCTGGCACTTCAGTACACAGCACCAAAGTGAAAAGTGGGAGGCAACTGCACCTGGGTAACTCTCATGGCACAGAGAATGAGTGTAAGGAAGGGGTAAATATAATCATATTTCAGCCATTAATTAAGCCCGAGACCGCTGTATCCACACCTTAGGGGCTTAAAGGAACTGAAGGGGTCTGTGCGGGAATCACTATTCTGTTTTGAAAATTAACTAGGAAGTAAAAAAACTTTGGACTGAAGTGATATTCACCATTCTTATGGATATGGACCCCAAGGAAACCCGAAAATCTTATAGTTTTTCTTTTAGTGGACATCAACAGGGTATAAAAAGGACTCCAAATAAATCCGTCGATAGCAATAATAAGCAGAAGAAATACAAATACTTAAATATTTAGATCATCTCGCTCCCACACAGCCACACTCTTTTGATAGGAGAGGAGACGCGCAGAGATGAGCGAGCAATCGGCAAAAGTTGCTGAAGAGAGAGAGAGGAGCAGGAGAGCGTGGAATATGAACGTATTTGTTCCGCTCTCACAATGTCATTTTTTCAGCCGGTCCAAGCGTGCGTTCCAAAGTCAGCTCCGCGTTTGTTGTGAAAAGCCGGACAATTGTGAAAAACTAAACGGATATAGTGTCGCCTAGTTGTATAGTGAAGTGTAGTTTAATAGTGCAATGTTTAAAACTGAAAAATGTAAAAAAAGCGCGTTTAAGCGTTCAATGATCAAGGGCGGGGGCGATGCAAGATGCAAAATGGCGGCTAAAAAGGCAGAACGGCGAAGGAAAAGTTCTGAAATGAGGGCAAGTGAAGTGTATTACATATTTAAACATATTATTTGATGCATATCTCTTATTTATCATGAGAAAAAGTCAGCGGAGCACCCGCTTGTTCACAATTTTGCGTTTGGTCACGTGATGTCTGTCCGTCTGTGTTTGTGTTTGTGTTTGTGTGTGTGTTTGTGCGTGGGAGTGCAGAGTTGTGTCCCTTTCGCACTCAATCTTGTAATAGGCAGGCGCAATGAAGAAGAAGTTAAAAAGGAATCAGCAAAAGCCCTTAGCGTCGGCGCTCTCCTTCCAAGGTGTCTCATTTGTAGGGTGAGGCATTCCAAGTCTCTCTCACGCTTAGCCTGTCCGATTGAGTTTACTTACAAATGCATACATATGTATGTATGTAATACCCACAATACATATGTAAACTTATTGGAATTGCTTTGAATTATTGGAATTCCTTTGCTTGTTTTAGTGCGTTTTCATTTTCGGTTCGTAAATTTTTCGTTCGGAATTGTCGCGCGGTAACGGAATCGACGGCTTCTAATGTGTTGGGGAAAGCAACGGCAAATGCAGCAAGGAAAACAACGGCACAAGCTGGAGGGCCAAAAGGTAAGAGAGAGAATAAATTGTTCATTTATATTTATTATTTATATTTTGATTTGACTTGACATGACTTTAGTTATGCCTCAGCATGGCAGTATTGGTAAACGTGGGTTATCCGACGGGCAGTGGGGGAGCAGGGACCGCCAGTGTGGAGCTATTTAGTTTGTTGGCCAGAGCTGTGCGTGGACTCCAGGACCTGGCCCTGGGACAACTGCAGTTCGCTGGTGGCATGTTTGAGGGCCGCCACAATGGGTTCGCCTCTATGCAGGGCCTGGACCGAGATGCTGATCGGCAGTCGGGGACCATTCGATTTTCTGCCAAAGGTCCTGCCAATGGCATGGATGCTGGCCGTGCTCTCGATCTCTGACTTCGTGCGCAGGAAGCGACGCGAAGGTAACGGCGTGGCAGTGGCATTGGCTACTCCTGTGGCCTGAGCTTTGGCCCGGCAAAAGGCGGTGGATGAGGAGCTGGTGGTGGCGGTGATGTTGCGAAGACTCCGCCACTTGCGTTCACTGATACCCGGAGCTGTGGCCGGGGCAGGCGTCTCCTCTGGCTCTGGTTTCTCCATCAGATTATCGCCGCCATTGGAAGTGTAGTTCTTGATGAGGATCTTGAACTTCTTATCGCTGTTCTCCACGGGATTCGTGGTGCTGAGACGCGGCCCGCAGCTGCGTTGCCGCTTGGGTGGCAGAGCCGTACTGCTGGTGGCCTCTCCGGGAAGCGTTCCCATGGTGTTTCGCTTGTGGGAAGCACTCAGGAGCTGGGTGATAGAGCGTCCCGCCTGCTTTATCAGATACGGACAGCCGGCGGAGGCGGCTGATTGGGGCGGCCCTGCTGTCAGAGCTGATGGGGACCTGAGGGAGGATGTCGTCGCCTGTTGGCTGCTGCTGAGGCTGCTCCGACTGCTGCTCAGGGGCTCCACCATATACTTCTCCATGTACTCGGTGGCATTGAAGGTGGGCATGGCGCGGTGGATGCGCGAAATGGTCGTCGCGGGATGCATGATGGCCGACCGCTGGCGGTAGACGCTGCTGGTGGCTAGGGAGCGCTCCTTGCGCTGCTGCTGGTAGTAGTAGTTGTGGTGGTTGTGGCCATGGTTCACCTTGTGCAGCAGCTGCTTGCCCTTGACGAAAAGATTGAGGCCCATGTAGGCGGGTGTCGGAGGCACCACCTGTCGGTAGGCGAGATCAAAGTTGCCCATGTCCGCCTTGGGATCCGTGCGACGATCAATTACAACTGCAAGGGACATTAATTAGAGATTGTTTCACTTCATTTTCGAGAGACAGTCACCCTTGACCACATCCTCCAGGCACTGGGGACACATGCGCGCCGTCACACTCGTGGTGGCCCCCAGATCCGGACTGGAGTTGATCTCAATGAGCCAGGGATAGAAGTTCTCGCAAATCATGAAATCGGCGCCAAACAACTCGAAAGTATTCGGCCGCCTGTCCATGTTCTCCTGCGAGGCCAGCATGCAGCCCACAATGGCCTTCCGCATGCCCGGAAATATCCGCTCCAACCACATGTTGTACTTGCCGATCTGCCGCAGATACGCCTGAAAGGAGTAGCAGTCCCACATGTTCTCGCTGGGCAGTCGCTTGTCCCGCTTTCCGTTCGTATACTTCTTCTGAATAGCATAGTTGGTGAGGTGCACCGACTCGTGGTGATTGCTAAGGGAGTACTCCTGGGAGCTGAATCGCAGGTAGCTCTCCCTATAGAACCAAACCACCAATGGCTGTGGAGGAGAATAGTAGATAGTAGTGCTCAGATATCTCTATGGGAAAGATCTTTTTACTACTATATAGTAAGACTCACTTGTGTGTTTGTTATGAGAAACCATTGACGTATATCGAATTTAGTTTGAAAGAGGATTAGCGGTCGTTCTGAAAGGAGAAATAGATTTAAATAATTCGATATTGCTGTTGCATTTGTCCTACTACTTCTTGTTCTGTTGTTATGTTTCTTTAAATCAAATATATCATTTATAGTTTAATTTTGGTTTTTGCATTTTCAAACTTGTGTATTCAACCAAAAGTATTTTATTATATTTTATTCAAACTTTGATTGAAAATCAATTGTCTCTGCACACAACTTGTTGCATGCCTCAGAAGGCAGTCAGTAAACCCTAAAACAAATTATGATTTCTGCCAGCAAAACGAGCACGACAGCAAAAAGAAAAAGCAAAAACAACCCAAAATCCCACCACCCAAATGATTGCGTTTTTAGGCCAAATTTGTATGCATTGTACTCGGATTGTATCGGCTGTACGAAGGATATGGGTATACTCGCAGGAGTCCAAGTGCGTGCGTGTAGACACCACAACTGACGTTTGAAACGAGGGGCCAAGAGAAATGGGTTGGGTGGGGAGGGGAGGGGAAGATTGGTAGTACAAAAACTTTTGCAGCGGCCTGATTTACGACCTAGTTTCCGTTTCCTGTGTTGTGTGTTTGTTTATATCGTTTTCTTGTAGGATTTGCACTTAAGATCCTTTATCCCATATCGATTGGAAAGGGAAGTTTCGGAAAGTGGTTTCGCAATTCAAGTTTTAAATGTTTTGTGTTTGGCGTCATTTTCTTGAAAATGGGTCAACTTTTGGGTAATTCTTTCAGAATAAAGACATTGTTAATTATCCTTCCATAAATCAAGGAACGAATTTGTGAATTGTGCTTGAATTCCTTCGTTGCATTCCTTCGCCCTGATTTTTCCCACTCACCTATATACTTTTGCACCACATAGCGACTCTTGGAGGCTATCGATGGATTCACAACACCTAATATTTTCTTTAGATTATCCATGAGGAGAATGCCCCGACCACGACACTTGTTGGCTGGCTTGACAATCCACAAATTCTGATAGCCATCTAGGCTGTACTGCGGCCAGTGGATCTTCATCTTGTCCACCAGCGACAGACAGCTCTTGGCCATGTGCTCGAGCCGCTGGCCATCGTGCTGGATGCGTCCGTCCTCGTTGACCAGCTGCTGGTGCTGGTAGAGGAAGGCGTCCCAGTCGTGCTCCCATATCTTGGGCGGGTCCTCGAAGTCGATGTCGTTGTGTTGGCAGCTGTCGAGATACTCCACCAGTCGCTTGTAGGCGAAGTCTATCGAGGAGTAGGGTATCTTGCCGCTGGAAGAGAAGACCGCATCCGGTCCTTGCTTGTGGTAGCGGCAGAGCATGGCCCTCAGGTAGGCCACGCATGCCGTCAGCTTGAAGTTGTCGATGAATTCGCCCAGCTCCTCGGGACTCCAGACGTTGTAGCAGCGTGGGAAGTAAATTTCGGCAGTGCCCTCCTCGAAGAACCAGTGGAAGTCCCGAAGCTGGCTGCACAAACCCTCCTTGGATGTGAAGGGAGCCCGATGAAATTTGTTGATCGTCATGCCGGGATTTTTGGCCTGGTCTATGTAGTCGCACTTCTCCTTCCGGTTCGTCCACAGGAAGTCCACGGGCATGTGCTCCAGGAAACGGGACATAATGTTCCGCTCGCACTTCAGGATGTACTGCCGTCGCGTCTCTCCTGCCTTCCGCTTGGGCAGTCGCTGGGTGAGATCCTCGTAGGTCATCTGTCCGGCCGGAACAACCTTTCGATGCACATCCAGCTTCTCCACCCATCCCCGCGCGAGCAGTGCATTCCGCACCGAATTGAAGCACCCTCGGATGGTGAATATTTTGTTCTGTTTGGCCGCCTCCTGGGCCTTCCGCCGCAGCTCATTCATCCGCTCCGTGGTGATCCATGTGCGTCGTGCCCCATAATTATTGGGTGCCCCCAAAGGCTTGGACACAGCTTTGACAGGAAGGTTTTCCTTGTTGCTGCTATCCGGAGTGGAATTCGGTGCCTTCTCGGGCAGCCTGGGCGGTGGAGGGGGCTGCGGCTTTCGTGGAGTGTCGCCGGAGTGCGACGGAGGCGTCAGCTGTATAATCGGCACCTCATTGAGCGGGACATTTGTGGCCGGGGTGGGCGGCGGTGCTGCCGGTGGGGACAAAACCTTTTTGGCCAAGGTGGCGCTGGAGCATTTCTGTGGGGGCAACTCCCTTAGGAGCTGCTCCTTAACGCGCTGCGGTTCACTGTTCGGACGCGTCTGCATTGCGGAGGCGCTTGCTCGCTCTCCAAGCACCGCCAGCCGACTAATTCGATTTTGGTTGCAGTGCAAAATTATCGCGTTTCCCCCTCTCTATATTCCTAGGGTCTGACTGACTGGGCCACTGGGTGAATTGGCTGCCTTTGTCTGATTGTTAATTTCGTCTACATATAGCCACGGGTCGGCGGCTGCCTGGCAACCATTGGGCCAGAAATAAGTTCACAAGTTCACTTGGAACGACTCTATTTATAGCATTTACCTGCTCAACTACGATGGCTCCTTGCCAGAGCTAGTGCTACGAACAGGTATGGCTTTCATGCATGTAGGATACATAGATACATCCGCATTTGTAGTGGAACCAAACCCAATTTGCACTTTTCACGTTGGGTTAGGTCGACACAGAATGGATGTTTAGGTCGGTTACTAAGCGATATGTTTGGGTGACATAAAAATGACCTTCAACAGAAGGAATAGGAATAGTTTGGGAATATTGAATTTTATTCGGTGATAATTGGAGATGAAGGATACATTGCTATTGACCTTTTCTATTACTTAGATGGAGAAATATTGTGAGTTATGTAGAGTATAGAGCAAGGAGCAGAGACAGAGTGGTAGACTAGATTTGAATTTATAAAATTTATTTATTAATGAGTATCAGATGAAAACACAACCAATGATAATGTTGATATGATTTTTAGACACCTATTCAGTAGAGCAATGAGCTTTATAGGGATATACATACATGTATCAATTAATATGTAGACAGTCATTATATTAGTTTACTATATCTTATTTTATATTTTAAAATGTCTAAAATATCCTTTAAATCATAATCTCAGATACCAAATGGTTTAAGTAAAAGTCCTAAAAACCTAACCGAATGTACCGCACCTAGCAAAGAACTAATCCTCCCTTCCCCGTTTCTACCCACTTGATTTCCCTTGTATACCTGCTGAATCCTCCCACGAAGCATGTGGACTACTGATCCAAACCAAATCTCCGTCAGGTGCAGGTGCTGGGGCAGGGGCGTCTTGTTCCGAATGATGTTTTTGCACGATACCAGTATTTGTTTTCTCCGCTGCCATCCATGCCGCAGTGGGTGTCGTCTCCGTCATCATCGTTGCTGTTGTTTGGCGTTGGCGTTGGCATCGGTGCTCGTGCTGGTGCTTGGGGTGTCATCGGCAGCGTTGTCGTCACTGGGAAGCGCGTGGCTGGAGACGACGACGTCAACGCCAATGCGGCTCATATGGAAAGCGAGTGGCGGCGCTTGAGTCTCGGAAAATTCGGGGTGGGAGGCAATGCCGGGGACTTGATGGATGTACTGCCTGCTGCCTGCCACGATGGTCTTGTCTGCAATTTGTTCAATTTTCGCAATGGGACGGAAACGGAGGGTAACTTTTCAATTATTTGTAAAATAATCAAGTTAACTGCTACCACAATCAGAGCGCGGGGACTGGGCATGGGCTTGGGCTGCATGAGCGATTACTGGGTTATGCTGGGGTTAGCTCTCGGCTTGCCATCGGTGCCATGTGCCATGTGCACGGGTCTCGGTTTCAAAGGGTATTTGGTTCAAGGACAATTTAGCCGCAAAACTTGATTCGTAGCGGTTTCTGCACGAGTTGGCGAAAAGTCGTGCCTACAGAGTTCCGGCACACGGCAACACCTACTCCATGGAGGAGTCCCATCTCCGGTGTCCTTGCGTGCCGACAACTTTGAGACTCTCCCTCTCTCTCTCTCTCTCTCTCTCTCTGACTATTTGTGGGCCTTTGTCTATTTTATTTATATTGTATTAAAATTTTAACTGGTCTTTACCCTCCCAGGGATCGTAAAAGAAAAGAGTTGCAGTTGCAACTGGGGCGGTAATTAATTTTGCTCGATTTGTTGTCGCTGTGAAAGGATTTGTATGGCCTGCTAATTTGAGGTAATGCGGCCGATAAAGTTTATTTATTTCCATAAGATTTGGGTCAGGGAATGTACGCAAGATGAAATTGATAGGGTTTAATGTTGAATATTCTGAAAGAAATCATTTCTGTAGCATACTTCTTGGGTTCGTGGAGGCCAACGAGAATGATCTACACGCGAGATTGAAACGGTGAAAACGTCCTGCGTGTTATTATGTATTAACGAGCATTTATGTAATTTTAATTATATTTATTTTCTGTACTTTTTATTTATTTATATATTTATTTTATACAATTTCCCATATATTTTACGAGTATTTTGGTGTATTGTAATATTGTAATATTGGCGATTGTTTCCCTTCCCCCATTCAATAAGTTTACAATCCATTTTATTTTCTGGTATCAAAATACACGTTTTTATTAATATCAAATATATTCCAGATCTAGGATAGATTAGGGTAATCAGATTACCGTACCCTCCCCTTATACGACAGGTAATACTTAATTACTATTTCAAAACAGTTTCCTTTGAATCCGCTCCTGGAAAGAGAAAAAAATCTTACTACTGGATGCATTGAACTCAAAGTAAAACGACTTTCAGTGGCGTGCGGCAACGAAAGAGGAGAAAGCTTTCGTTTCGCCCAAGAAGCTTTTCTCCAACATGGAGCACACACCCCGAAAGAGAGACCATGTGCGAGGGGGGGGGGGGAGGGGACGCAGTGATAGTAAAAGAGTGGCAAAGCATCAGACAACGAACGAGCACCCTTCGGTTGTCCATGCTCCGACGGAGCACCCGAAGCAGCTGGCAGCGCCAGCGGCAGCCGAGGCCCCAAAGCGATGCAACAAATATAAGAACCGAAGCTCTTGGCGTCAGCGAAAACATTTATAACGGAAAACTCCTGGCGTGTGGACGTGTTTAGACGTGTCGTGGCCTCTGATTTTTGTCGCGCCTTTCGCCTGCTCTGCTTGCGTCTTTAGTGTATTATTCAGATTCGTATTATTCTTTCTGCCGAGTGCTGTCCCCCGTATATCACTGCTTGACGCGCACTCCCACCATACGACCATACGACCACTTAGTATTCCATTCGCGAAAAATAATAAGAAACAAAATGAAATAAAATAAAAAGAAATTCAAACAAAACAAAAAACAAAAACAAAAGATATATCCCTCCCATTCATCTTGTTGCCAAATTACGGGTACATTGTAGTTCTAATTGTGAAGCAACCTTGAAATTTTCTAAGCACGCTGGAAGTTGCATAAAAAACAACAAACACAAATTATTAAGTGGCGTCTTTTGGACAATTGCAATGTGACTTTCGAAGTGTAAACGAAGCTTTGTTGTAGTTTTGTTTGCCAAAAAGAGAATCAGGTGAATACCGTCGCGACTAAAAGGTTGTATTCAATCGAATACCCCCATACTGAAAAAATACCACAGAGGACTGCGAGTTCTATTTTGGATTAGATTACTGATCTAAAGGATTTAAGAAGCACAGAAATGGGCACTATCGGTGAGTTTTACGAATATTGCAACAAAGTAAAGTAAATTACATATGCCAAATTCAACCTTATACTACATTTCCATAAGTAAGCATATTTATTTAAGGAACTAGTTTTTTCATTTCTCGGAAAAGTCCTTATGTTTATTAGTCAATCGTTCTACATGCATTCTACCTTCCATCTGCTAAGATAACCTTCCTTCTCTTTTTATATTTGCCGGGTCTGCATTTGCATTTGCAACTCAACTGGTAATCGAAATTCCTGGAAATTTGCATTATATCATTAATTCAACTCCTTCGTCGTATCCTCCACAAACGAGAGTCTTATCCATTAGTTCCCAGAACTGGCTGTATCATTTCCACGAATATTATACTACCTTATGTTATGCAACCGTTGCTCCAACAGAGTTACAGCTTACATCAGAACATTGCCACTTTTACATCGACAAGGGACAGATGCCACAGTTCATTGAACCCATTGCATTGGTCATTCATTCATTCTCCCTCTATCCTTCAGGAATTCAGTACCATCGAATAGTTCCTTGAACTGCTTATCTCATTCCCCCACCCATTTATATTCCATTTTCTTATGCGATTCAAACAGTAGTTGCACAATTTCCTCCGTTTCTTTGATTACATGTCATCCTATCCCATAATCTATTGTTAGTTCTCTCTGGGCAACATCCAACACGGGGTCCAACCCAACAGTTACATGAATAATCCCTTTTCGAAAAGCTCAAACGACACTGTCGGGATTCCTCGCAATTATAACCGAATGTGGGGGGCGGGGCGGTGCGAGTCCTGCCGGTGGCCCTGCCACTCTTGGTACGCTCCTGTTGTGCGCTGTACTGCTTGCTTTTCAATTATCCTGCCTAAAAATAGACCCTCACGCACAAAGCCGGCGAAAGAGCAATCAACCCACATTCTGGGAGGGGGCGGAATCGGCTCTTGGACTGCCTTTCAACGCCATCCCAAAAATACTCGTAAAATACGAAGAGAAAATCAAGCGACAAATGACAACGACGTCATTATCATAAACATGGTCTGGTCTACTCGCGCTGGGTCTCGTCGGGTCGCCTCTTGTGGGCCTGGCCGCTAAATTTCTACGAATTTTGTTTATCCAAAATGTATAAAATAAATAATATGCCACCGAACAAATGGGGCTGGGACAGCGGAGGGGTTGCGGATGGGGATAGACCCTAAAACTCATAATCGAATGACGCACGAGATTCTGATTTCTCTATATAAAGAATACTTATACCTATGTATGTACATATGTACGTACGGATATATATAAGTAGGTATATAATATATATGTATCATCCACCCATTGTAGGCCAGTCATCAGGCTGTGTTGTTTGTCCAGCTTTTGGGTGCGCCTGGACTTGGTTAAATCCGCCCACGGTCCCAGCTGTAGAGCAGCAACACCCACAGCTATAACTACAGCTACAATCCCTGGCAGTGTTACAGCTACAAATGCGCTGTGATTGCCATCTCAGTGGCGGCTAGGGTTTCGGGGAGGTAGTACTTGTGCCTCAATGGGTTCATTGTGTGCCACACGATACGACAGTTGCATACACAAGTGGCAGTCAGCCATCCAGCCACCTTGTGGGGCAGTGCAGGATCTGTGTGTGCCATTTTCTGTGTGGGTTGTATGGCCGTTGGTGGTGGGGTCGCATTAAACACGCTTGACATGCTGCTCAGTGTTGAAACATCATCAAAGCTCATTTCTCTTTTCATGACAAAGCGTCAGCAAAAAGTTCACAGTTGAATATAACCATTGATATTATCGCAAAAAATGCCACACAGTCCTTATGCATTTAAAATTCCACACACACCCCTTCCAGGCACTAGAATATAGTTTCATAAGGTTAATCCTTGAGTAAACATACTACATTGGTTTACTCCAATGAAAAGATAAATTAATTCTACGAAACAAAGGCTTCTTCTTTAGCCTTTAGATAATTGAATTGCCAAAGACATGATAATAAAAATATGGTATACATTAATATTGATTAGCCACTTTATTCTGCTTTAATGTTCCGTTTTATGAGTGCATTTGGCCTGTGATTAGATGCGACTAACATACTTCAAATTTTCAATATTGTGATGGGCGCAATTCAATTTCATGATGGGGCAAGTCGGCTGCTTATGGAGACACTTGCAGTAGACGAAGCGCTCCATCAGGTGCTCTTCGAACTCCTCGGGCTGCGCCTCGGTCTTCAGCAGCTCCCGATACTCCTCCACGCTCTCCAGATTCAAGGGATCCAGCTGATGCATGTAGCACTTGAGTTTGAGCACTGTGGCATGGAAATAGTTGAATATATCGACGGCCATTATCTTGTGATGCTGTATACATCGATGATGCGGATCGCCCATGATCAGTGGCGTCTCCAGCTTCTTGTTCAGCCGATTGTAGGCCGCATAGAACTTCTTGCAGTGCGTGTCCAGCTCCATCACCGAGTGCTTCATTTTGTTGCTGGCGAAAAACAATCTCTAAACGAATGTAATGGTACTTAGATTCGGACTAGACTTACTTGGAAGCTCGTAGCACTTCTAGCTTTTCCTCGTATTCATTGACCAGCGCCTCCTCCGTGGATAGAGTGTAGACCTCGGGATAGCGACACCCAATAACACAACTAATCAGGATTAGGTATCTTTGCGTCAGCAGCCACACTCTCTCGATGAGAATCTTTTGGGCCTCCATTTCGCACAGATAAATCTTGTAGTAGTCCCCATATTGTGTCTCCAGATCCACCAGCAGTCCCAGCACTTCTGCCTCTGTCTCGTAGTGATCCTGCAGCTGTGGCGTCAAATGCGGCTCCTCCTCGTTGATTAAGGATTCCTCCATTTCGTGTTGCTTTTGGTGCTCTGTCATTGTTTTTGGAATATTCTAGTACAAGTGGTTCAAGGCTTACTATTCGATGGGGGGTGCCCATAAAATATAATTCCAATTTCTTTCATCAAACGGATAATTCGAATTTGAGGGTAAACTAATTTGTTTGGCATGGGAAATATCCAAACGAAAATGGTTAAAAATCGCTCGCTGTTTAATAAAAATCAGATGGGAATCAATTGCTACTTACGCAACATTCATTTTTCACAGATATCGATTTAAAACAGATTTGTCTATTTAAATCTATCTAAATACGTCACGTAAGATATGTACAAAGGAAATGAACATCGAATCTAATGAATGTTGAGCATGTGATAGTCCAAATAAAAATATACAAAATATAAAATTAATATGTGGCCCACGGGGTGGAACGACGGAACCATCCAAAATTCATTGAAGCATTGGAAAAGATGCTTTGATTGATTCTCAATTTCGAGCATTTTCATTCGCTGTTCGAATGCATCGAAAACGGAAATTAAATTGCCAAAAATTTGTATCTGTCGAGGAGGATGATGCTCTCTCTCTCTCGATCTCTGTCTATCTGCTCTCCCAATACGTACATGTATATATCCCCATAAAATATATCTTTTTTTAAATGCGTAATTTTGTTGTTGTATTGGGCAACCGACGCGCCGCATCATTAATGAAGTGCGAAGCCAATTGCCGCCTTCAACAATTTCCACCAAGACCAGACAGACTCTGTCTGTTCAGATATACATACATATATATGTACCCACAGAGATATGTGTATATACATATACGGGTATAAGTAGTAAAGGGGAGAAATTTGAACCGTGGGCACGTCAAGCCTCATAGCAAACATTACGGATTCCGGATTTCGGAATGCTCCTACTCATCCTTCAATATTACTCAAATAAACAAAAGAGAACATTTGGGGGGGGATACATTGTTTGTAAAAATATTAAATGCGCCTCAACAATAACAATAATAATGTGTATTGTATTTAAAAAAGCAAAAATCAATGCATGGTTGGGTGTCACGAGTGTGAAAAAGGAAGTACTTGTAAGTACTCGTAAAAATGCCCTTGAATAAATTCTGAGAAAAATATTTACACGAAATACGATACATTTTTGAGAAATGGAGGGGGGCACTTTTGATTGTTGAAATTGGTTTGAAGGAATGAAAGTGTTTTAATTGGGCTTAAACATTATTATATTTGAATTTTTTGTTTCTGACTCTACCAAACTATCTTTTCCTTAGAATTTTCCCTACAATTGAAATGGTTTATATGTGGTTCCAATAACATCACTTAACGCTTCTTCATGCAGTTTTCCAATCTCATAATTTTTTCTCACAAAAGAAGACCTCAAAAACTTGGAAAAGAAAATAAATTTGGAAACAAAAGAAACTAAAAAGCCATGGCAACGCACATTTTGCACACACACGCACACATTTTTCTCGGGGTCTCTGTTTGTTTATGATTTTCTTGAATTTTTAATTGCCAAAGCGGTGCGGCACACGCGTCGTATGCGCGATGTCTTCTACGGTGTAATCTGTTTAGGCTATTTTGGACAGCCCCCGAGTGTTTGTTGCGGGCCCTCAAGATGTTTTCGCTCAACACCGACCGGCTAATGGGTACTCGTATTGTACACCCTCCCATTCCCATCTTTATCTTGCTCTTTTTAACCGATCCCTCTCTCTCCGTCTGGCAGTCTGCCTGTGTCTGTCTGTCTCTTTGTCTCTGTGTGTAAGTTGTTTTCAATTGTGCGGCTTTCGGTGAGGCATTTTATGTAATTAATTCTCTTGAATTATGGCGAACAAAAATGTTGTTTGATAGTGTTGGGGCCACCAGATTTATGGGAAGGTGCAATGAACCTCTCGAGGCAGATACTCGTAATTGCATATAGCAGATGAGCGCAAGAGAAACGATCGCCATTTGTTGTCTTAATTATTTATCATTAATATCCATAAATAGTGGGGGAATACATTGTGAGTTGAAGAATCTTAAAGTGGTTCAGAAATATCCCTTAAACCATTCGCAACTTTCTCCGCTTGTCTGGCCCTTGACCTTTACCTTGAATTGTAGTACTCTATAATTCCCTCATTTATCATCGAGAGAAAAATACACTCCACTCTTCTTCAAGTTCGATAAAAA